TTATTATTCAGATAACATTACAGTACATTACGGAAGGGAAAAAAAATAAAAAAAAAAAAAAGAGAAAAATCAAAATCGATTGCTGAGAGCAGCTCTAGGGAATCCTGCAGGCAGCTGGATGGAGAATACCTGCAGAGCCAGGGCTGTGCCCAGCAGACGCCCACCCTCCCTCTGAGGGCAGAGGCCTCTGCCCCAGCGCCGGGGCTCTGGTGGTGGGAACAAGCGCTCAGCACCAGCATCTCCTTGCTCACCCTTGGGCCGCAGCAGACAGAGGCCACAGACAAATTTGGGGCCGCGTCCCCAGCCCCGCTGCCTACCCCCAGCCCAGGCTGCCCATGCCACTCCCTACCAGGCTCTGGTCCTTCGGCTTGAGGGGCGTCGTGCTCCGGCTGGAGGCGAGGGATGAAGGGCTCTCAGGCACCTCCCGGTGGGTTGGCGGGAGCTGGCTGCTGGGTGCATGGCTGGGGCTGCCGGGCTCTGAGGAGGGGTCCTGGGGGGAGAGGACGTCTCTGTGGAGCAGGAACCCCAGTCCCCCTGCACAGGCGGGCAGGCCCCAGGCAGCCACCCCCCAGCCCAGAGCCCAGCAGGGACCGTCACCCGCAGCCAGGTCAGGCGAGCCGCCCCCTTCCCCGAGGAGCATCCACTCGGAGCCCTCAGCTCTGCCCCACTGTCCCCTGGATGAGAAACCTCCTTGATTTTTCTCTTTGAACAAAAGTAGAGGTGACAGTGGATTCAGAGGACACTGGTGGCCACAGATGCCTTCACAGGCAGGGTTGGTGACCAGCACACCCAAGGAACTGAGAAAGGGCCTCTTGGCAGCCCCTCGACAGCATTTCAGAGGCAAGGCCACCCATCAGCTCTTGCGCTCCTATAACCATTCAATTAGGGCTTTGATTTTTATCACCATAATTACACTGACGAGCAGTTTTTATAAGTGTCTTTTTCTGCAGAAATCCCTGCTGATGTTCCTTTCAGGGCTTATATTTTGTTGGGAAGTGGCAGGAGGGAAAAAAAAATAATTAAAAAATCACGTTTTGTCCCTCCCTCCAGTCTTCCAGGGGAGGAAAAGGGATGTCCCCGAAAACATCATCTCTTCCAAGAATAGCTGGGGCTGGGATAAAGCAGTGCTGCATCTGCCTCGGTGGGCAGGGAAGGCTGCGCCAGAAGTGCCTGGCAGCTTGGTGGCAAGAGACTGAAATCCAGCACGCTGCCTGCACTGAGGCACGGACACGGGCTGCTCTAAGGCCAGGCACCGTGTGAGGCCGCGCGGCTGGGGCTGGCCGGGCTGGGGGCGTGCGACAAGCTCTCCTTGCCAGAGGCAGCACGGCACACCTGCGCCCTCCTCCTGCCCCCTCCACGGGCGTGAGGGGCCAGCAGCAAGCCCAACTCCCCGGGGCTCCCGCCCCAGCTCATCAGCCTCCCCATATGGGCAGAGCGGCCGAAGGAGGATCGCGAAGTGGAGCCAAGTCCGTGGCTAGCAAAGCGGAGCCCTGGCTGGCACAACCCCCAACCCAGCGCTCTGTGAGCCGCAGTCAGCCTCGGCCAGCACGGGCCCATCACAGCAGGGCTGGCACGTGCCCAGCAGCACCGACCTGGAGCCTAGCAAACCCTGAAGCTCGGGAAACAGAGTCCTAAACCTGATGACCACAGCTTGGGCTGGGCACCCTGCAAGGCTTCCGAACGCCCTGAGGGGTGTGGGCTTACCTCGTCCACCACCAGGTTGTAGTCGCTCTTGTCCCCGTCGCTATCCTGCAAGGGGGAGAAACCTAGAGAGGCTCGGTCGGGGCTGGACGAGCTCTGGGCTCTGCCCCACAGGGCCCCAGCCAGCACAGGGCCCCCATTTCCTCCTGCTCATCATTAGTGGACCAGCACCACACCCTCAGGCAGTGACCGGACCCTCCGACTCTCCACTTGTTCGCAGGCTCACAGCCCTCTGCGCCGGGGCAGGCACGTCTCCCGCGGCCGCGCTCTTTGGTGCACTCACATACTGCCCAGGCAGGTCCTTCTCCTCCTGCTTTCTCTTCAGGCTCGTGCCCCCCGTCTGCTCCTCGTCCTGCAGGCTCTTGGCGGGGGAAGCAGAGACGCTCTGAGCCAGAGGGGGAGAGGCAGGGATGAGCAGCGGGAGGGCAGAGCCCACAGAGCCCCGCCAGTCGCGGATCCCCCCTGGAAGGGGCTCCCAGTGCCTCTGGCAGCACCCAGCCAGCGCCCAGCACGCAGCTGGTGGCCTGTGCAACCTCTGCCCAGGCCCGTCTGGGGGATGGGGGTCCCTGTCCCCCACCAAGCGGGTGTCAGGTCTAAGGGGGGATGCACCACTCGCCCCCTCTGCACAGACACTGTGGCATCCCCTTACTGGCACCCTTGGCCAGGAGCCCTCTAGGATCCAAATGTACCTGGGGGCAGAGACCAGGTTTAATCTGGCACTTTAAGCAAGGCTGGGGAAGATGTTTCCAGATCCCTGAGCTCTAGCCCAAATTCATTCTACCTCTGACAGGGCAGAGAGAAGGGAAGCAGAACAGGGATGGTCCCTGGGGTTGGCCCCCAGACTCCTGGCGTGGGCAGGAGGTAGATGCATTTTTAGGGTGCCCAGTCACTGTCCCACATGTAGCCGCAACACTCCATCTCCTCCCCTTCCCAGCCTGGCCCCAGAACGACTCCGAAGTGAGCTGCCCTCACACCCCACCCCAGACCTGGCCAGGCCCCACGCTCCAGCATTTGTCTGACCTGTTCTTAAAAGATCTCTCTGGGCAGGAGGAAGAGGGAGAGAACAAAGCCCTGCTGAGCCCCCAAACCCCGCCAGGCTCCCCGCCCTCGCCAAAGCAGAGGGGTGGGTGTCAGGGCGGCAGCCCCAACCCCGAAGGGACAGGGATGCGGAGGATGAGGAATCACAGCCACGGGCACCCAGGGCTGGTGAAGCAGAAGCAAAGTGTGGCAGCACCCCCAGCACAGGAGAGCAGATCCGCCCCTCCAGGAGATACCAAGGCATGGCAGAACGGAAAATCCCCGCCGAAGACATCGTGTTTGCTTCACCTGAACCCGCAGCTGCAGGAGCCAGGGGCTGGGACGCAGGACGGGGCTGGGCAGGACGAGCGCCCCTTCCCCGAGATGCTGCCCCCAGCCACAGGGGCCTCTCGAATCCCCCCCCACCGCTGCCCGAGGACAATAACACAGTGAAGTGGTGTCTGCTCACGCAGCCCCCCGCTCTGGCGCACACCAGGGGAACGCCAGGCCGACACCGGTTACCGGAGCGGCTGCCCTTCCTCCCAGAGCTGCTGGGGCAGTTTCTGGGGCATGGCTCCCCGGCCCTCCCGGGAGCTGTTCCTGCCAGCGGTCAGGGAGAACACACCCCATCCCAGCGCTCCCGCACGGTCCATTGTCTCCAGCACAGTAGGATTAAGAGCCTCGACTCAGACAAGCAGGGAGCAGAAAGGATGGTCCCTGTCCCCCGGGTGATCTCTGGAGCAGGCGCTAGTATATACAGGATGGGAGGGGTGATCCATCCTGCACAACACATCGACCATATCTCCCTCCTCCTCTCCCTCCTGACTGCAAGCCTAGGAGGATCAATGCCAATTGCTCCCACACGGAGGGGTCGTTAACCCTTCCTTCCCCTGCCCGTACCAGGAGCTGGAGCTCTGGCTTCCTGCAGCCAGCGAGCCTGGGAAGGGGCTCACAGACCCGGGACCCCTGACGGGCCGCGGGGTACCTGGAAAGGGAGGGCGCAGCCAAGCACTGCGGATGGGCTGGCAGCACCGGGCTCAGGTACGGAGACCTGTTCAGTGTCTCCTAAACTGGAAACTCCTTCAAAAGGACAGAGCTTGTTATTTCAGGAGCAGTCCTGGACCTTTGGATCCTTGCACCAGCAAAGACTGAAGTGGCCCAGAACCTTGAGCTACAAAACCCCGATGCAAACGTGGCCCACCCAAGCCAGCAAAGCAAAGGCTGCGGGGGCACAGTAACCAGAGCCCCCAGGTCTTACACTCCCCGCTCAGATGCTCTCCTGCACTGCCCCCTCATCCCTGCTCACACACACCCGCCACTTGGCTGCTCCCACCCTCACACTGCAGCTGGATTCACTCAGGTACCGTGGAGCTCCAGCCCAGCCACGGCCGCGTTCCAGCGCAGCCTCTGCCGCACGTGCCCGTGGAGCGGGGGCTGGCGCGGGCGCAGGGGCCATCCTGGGGCTGGACAGGGGCCGGGCTGCCAACAGCCAGGGAGAGGCGCTGGGCCCGGCTCAGGGTGAGGGCAGATGGGCCGGACACTGCCCTGGACGTGGGACGCGCAGCCGGACGTGGGTCAGGGCCCCTTCGCTTGGCCTGAGGGAGGCTCCTTCTAATCCTTGGGGAAATCAGCTCTCCTGAGAAATTGGGATGACCCCAAAATTCCTCAAATCCAGAGACTTGGCCCAGCCTCATGAAGACCCCTGCGCTGCCTGTGAGAGAGGGCAGAGCTGCCCCCAGTCCCTCTGCTGCCCACCTCCAGCTCCGTGTCTTGCCCTTTACCTTCCAGCCATGCTGAGCCCTTGCAAACTCAGTACACAGGGGAAGTCCTGGGGGCCTGTCACCCCGGTCACAGTCCTGAAAGGCAGCTCTCCGTAGCAGGGGATGCCCCCATGCCAGGGAGGGAGGGACAGGAAAGGAGCCCAGACATCGGGAAGAAGGGATGGGAGAGCCCAGAGGGGGGTGCCTGCGCTGGGGGTACAAGGGACACCTCGGACCTGTTCTGCCCTCCCAAGGAGCCCCACGCCCCCGACCCGGCCCTGCATGCGCATGAAGCCCCAGTGCCTGCCGCTGCCTCCTCCCGAGCAGGAGGGCGGGAGGCCACTGCTAGGCGAGGACAGCTCAGCTACCTCTGGGCTGTTTGCTCTGAAAAGGTCAGGAAACAAAACATTCCTGGAAATCCACTGCGAGCGCTTGACAAGGGAGCTGGCGGCAGTGCCCGCTCATGCCAGCCGCAGCTCGTGCTGCCCCAAAGCCAAAGGCCACCGCTGCCCCCGGGGCCCCCCAGCCCTTCCCAGAGCCGGCAGCCAGCTCTGACCCCCTGGAGCATCCTGGAGATGCTGGGAGCGACCGAGCACTCGCCCCCGTGTCGAGGCCACCGGCCCGGCCAGAGCCTGGCCCGCCGGCAGGACTTACCCGGCTCGGGGAGTGCTCTGGGCCCGGCGGCAGCAGCAGCAGCGTCCGGCCCATCGGTGTCAGGGAGGCAGAGGGAGGAGAGGAAGAGGCTGTTAGTGTGGAGGCTGTGCCCGAGCACGGGGTAGGGGGGAGCGGGGGGCACTGCAAGGAACACGGGAGGAGACATTGGCTGGAGTCACACCTGACCCATTTCTCACCTCGCCCATCCGCAGTGCGGATCCTCTGATGTCTAATAGGGGGTCAGCACATCAGCCTCCCTTGGGGAAGCAGGGAAAATCTCTATCCGCCCACCTACTTTCAAGAAACTCATTCCAACTTTGGAATCTCTTCCCTGGACATAGCGACAGGTCCAAGGGTGCCAGGAGGAGATGAGCTGGCCAGCCATCTGAGACCTCCTGGATCACACCCATCCCATTTCCTTGGGAAGCCACACTAAAATGCCCTGCCTGGAAACCCTCCGAGGCTTCTTGATGTGCACAACAGAACAGGTCCCTGTTTTCCCTGAACTCAGGGAAGAAGTGCCAGGAGTTTGCTGCAAACCTAAGCATGGGGTTACGGGCTGGGGTCTAGCAACCCTCTGTGGGTGCTGATGAGATCCTCAGGAGTGAAAATCATTCAGAGAAAACAACCTCATTGCAGTCTCTGCTGGCAAGAGGCAGGCGGGTGTCAGGGCTGAGGGACTGACTGCCCGTGGGGGTGTCAGGGCTGAGGGACTGACTGCCCGTGGGGGTGTCAGGGCTGAGGGACTGACTGCCCGTGTCAGCAGCTACCCCAGGGCTGTGGTCAGCATGGGGAGAAGGAGCCAGGTACCTGCCATCAGCCCTGGCTCAGTTTAATCCAAACCAGCTCCGGCTAACTACAGCAGAGCACCAGGGATTAACTCAAGCCATATGTAGCATTTCACTTTTTTAAAAAAGGCATTATTGTGGATGTCTTTGTGCCACAGCTCTGAGCTGTGCACGGCAGGAGCTGCCACGGGAAGCAGTGGCTGCCCGGGTCTCTAAGGGTTAAGGCAGGCACAGCACAGTCTGCTTTTATCCTCCCAAGTTTGTTTTTCTCCTCCAGGAAAAGGCCATCCTTAGACACAGGGACACAACCGCCCCCAGACACCTGTGCAGGGGCGCACACCGGCTGCTTTCACCACTTTCCAATCTGACGAGCAAAACCGGCTCATGGTAGGAAAATGCAACAAACCCCTCCAGTGCCCAGTTCTGCTGTTGCTGTTGGGTCCTGTCCCAGCAGCATTTCCACGCTCCGAATCGGGGACATGAGGAGCAGCCGGCACCTTCCCCAGCATCTGCAGAGGAGCGGCTAAATTTTACTGCCTGTTCCTGGTTCACAGAGCTGCCTGGCTGCCCCGAGCCCTCCGTCTCTGCCTCAGTCTCCCTCAGCTAAAACACCCGGTGCCTGCACTCTGCAGGTGACTCGGGCTCAGAGCGGCTTCTTCAGGCAGCACTTCAGCAGCAACCAGCCACCAACAAAGCTGGGTGATGTTATTAATTTGGCCTAGGCCTGCCAGTAGCATTCAGAGCACTGATTTAAACATGATTAAATATTGATGATATTTGTAAAGCACTTTGTGATCCTGATAGGAGGAAGCACCCAAAAGGCTGAGGAATTACTGCTACTCACAAGGCACCACACAGGCAATAAGGCGCTCTGCTTTTGAAAACCCTTGCCACAGGCCCACAGCTCACACAATTTCTCCTAGGGGCTTGCAACAGTATTTTCCCTTAAAGTCTCAGCTTCAGGCATCAGATCTTTACCTGGTGTAAACCTTGGTGTGAATACAGAGTGTGTCTCCGTGGTGGGGATCTCACACCCTCCCAGCTGCCCCATGGAGGGGGACCCTCATGTGCCAGAAATACTCGGGGGAACAGGAGGGCCCGTGGGGGCAGACACGTGCCTGAGCCCTGATGCCCAGCACCCGGGGTGCACACGCAGCCACCCCCATCATCGCACAGCAGTTGTTCCCCTGGTCAGAAGGAAAACCAGCCTCCCGGGGCTGCAGATATTTAATTAGCTGGATCTGTCATCCGCAGGGCTTGTGGCTCCCCCTGGCCCCAGGGAGCGGCTGCCAGGCACGGAGGAGCCCCAGAAACAGGCAGAGCAGGCAGCAGGATCCCCCCAGCGCTGCCCGCGCACCTCTGGGACGCCTGCCTGGCCCCCGCTCAGCCAGCCCTCAAAGCACTGGTCCAGCGCTGCCTCTTCCCCTTACCTCTGTTCTCCCCATCCTGGGCTACTCTGTCCTCCCTGGCAGCCAGCTGGGACTGCGCCATCAGTGCCCCGGAGAGGGCCAGGAGGCCCGGGGAGGCTAGAAGGCTGCATGCTGGAGGGGTGGGGTGTCAGCGGGATGGGGGATGCGTGGTGGGAGAGGTGCTGAAGCTGCTGCTGCTGAAAGAGAAAGAGCAAATGGTCCCGGATCGGGGGGAGACAGTGGCAGCCATGCCTGGCACCCCCCAGCTGCCTGCAGGAACCGCGATGCAAAGCGCCATGGGATAAGGCGGGAGGGGAGCAGAGCTGCGAGGCCGCACAGTCCGGGCTGCGCCGCCCACCCTTCAGCCCAGGGCACCTGGAGTTCCTCCCAGGAGGTGACCCCGACACACAGACGAGCCCAAGCCGTTGCTCTGCCCTGCTCCGCTTGGGGTGAGGGGGCCTGGGAGGATCCCAGGGGGACAGAGTGACGGACCCTCTCACCGCAGGGACCAGCCCGGCTCCCCCCCCCACTGCACCGCGTGGGCTGAACCCGCGGCCGGGCAGCGTGACTCACCCCGACGATGCTGTTCAGCTCCCCCACGGTCACCTGCTTGGCCCGTTCCACCGCCTGCAGGACCTGCTGCTGGTGCTGGGAGGAAGAGCACGGCGAGGTCACAGCGCGCTCCCGGCGTCACCCCAGCTGCCGGGGGCTGCACAGCCCCCCCTCCCATCCCTCCAGCCCAGGTACAGAGGGTTCTGCTCCCCCAACCTCCCGTGCCTCAGGCTGGACACCGGTTCGCCCCTTCCCAAGGGCCTCGAAAGAAGCCTGAGCAGTCCGGCAAGCAGCCCCGGCTCCCCCCTTACCTCCTGGGTCAGAAAGGGTACAATTTGGGTGCAGATGGCACTCAGTCTCTTGACAATCTCTGCCTGAAAGAGGAAGGAGGTATCACCAGGGTCGGGCGGGCTCTGAGCCTGTCCCCTCCAGCGGGGAGGAGGGCAGCCAAGCATCCTGCAGACACACGCAGCCCCTGCGGAGGAGTTAAACTCTCCCACCGGCACCCGCTCAGTGAAATCCTCCTGCTGCCTCGGCGTCCCTGCTGGGATTTCCTCAGCCGCTGCCAAGGGACAGCTCTGCCCGGGGCTGAGGGACCCTCCCAGGCTGTCAGATCCCCCCAGGCACATGGGAGGGAACCTGACTCCTAAATCCCTGCATGGATCCAGGCCAAGCCGAGCTCGGAGCTGTCAGTCCTTTCCCAGCCCAGCTGGCTCTGCTCAGCCCAAACCCATCTTGGCTTTGTGGGCTGCCGCGCTTGCAGCCAGCGGGCAGGCTGGCAGGGAGGGAGGAGAGCCGAGCCGCAGGCGCTGGCAGCGGGCCATCGGCGTGCGGCTTGCTCTCTCTCCCCGAGCATCGGACTCGAAACTGGAGGGAGAGCAAGGGGAACAGAAAATTCACACAAACGAATTCAGCCCTCTCTGCATCGCGCCAGCAAAGCCCTGCAAGGCACTGACGGGGGTGCGGGCTCTGCCCCCGCCGCTGCCAGCCCCGCCGAGGCCCCGGCCCAGCCAGCAGCCTCCCTGCTCGTTCCAGAGGGGAGCGGGGCACAGAGCGCCCCATCCCCTGCCCAGCGAGCAGCAACGAGGAGACAGATGCCCTGGCATGTCCTCTCCCGCCTGCGGTTACAGGCAGACCCACAGGCTGGCCACATCCTCCCCAGCGAGCGGCGTTTCCCAAGGGAAGGGGCTGTGGCTTCCAGCCCAGCCTCTCCAGAAGGAAACCCGCACCTCCCGGGGAAAACTTGATCTCCATCACTCGCTGCAAATCCACCCTGGCACTGATGGAGGGATGGGCTGCTCTGAAGTGTTTTCTCATCTCAGGTTTCCGACAATCCCTGACAGCATTGCAGAGAGGTCAAACCACTCACAAAGCCGGCAAAGAACAAAGGGAACAGGTACCTGAGGCGCTCAAAGGCTGCCTGTGCCCGAGGGGGGGGCACACCCGCACCCCGCAGCACCCAGGTCACCCACAGGTCCCCGCTGCTGCGTCAGCCACCGCCCGACGGGACCCCGGGAGCCAGAGACACCCCCCCATCTCCAGACCTGTTCTGCCCACACAGGAGCTGGGCCCGGGCTGGTCAGGGCTCCCTCCCCGCAAGCACTCGGCCATGGCCTCTGTCACCTCGCGGGCAGAGTCCCCAGGACCGCGTGGCTCAAGCCACCCCCGGGTCACGGCCCCACCGGAGCCCAGAGCAGGTGGGGACGGCAGGAACGTGCTCGCGGGCGCTACGACTCTCCCTGCTAACAAAAGGAGCAAACTCGGAGGGGCTGAGCCAGCTGGAGGAATATGGCAGTTGACTTGCCACTTTGTCAGGCATTGGTCCAAACTAATTTCCCTGGCAGAGAGCCCGTGATGACTAGATTGATAAATCTGAAGAGGGAAAGCAAATTAACGCTGGGACAAAAGGGGAACCAGGGAAGGGTGAAAACACTCCTCTGGCTTCAAGAAAGGAAAAGGGGATTAAAAAAAAAAAGATAACCCCTTTGCCTCTGGGCTCCAGCTCCTGCTGCTTCCTCCGTGCCCCCTCCTGCATCCAGGGCCCAGGGAGCCGCCATGGGGAGGTACGAGCCTGCGGGGGGCTCAAGGCCAGGCTCTGAGAGGTGATTTGGGACGGGAGGTGGGAGGCCCCATCCCAGGGCACCTTCCAGGACTCAGCAGAGCCCACCCTGAGAACTGCTGAAGCCCTTCGCAGGGCAGCCCCTCGCACAGAGCCGCGTCGTGTCCCCCGTGTCCTTACAGCTACGTGGGGACGAGGGAGAAAATTTTCCAACAAGTCTCCATCCTCGGTCTCTTCCCCACCATCCCCTGCTGCCGGCCAGGACCCCACCTCACTTACCTGCTTGTGCATTTCAATGTTCAGCCCGTAGGACATCTCATAGTACTGAGAGCAAAATCACAGCAGAGCCTGGTTAGGAGCTGCCCAGACCCACCGGCCGTGCCCCTGCGGGAGCGGAGACGCCATCGGGTCGCGCTTCCACCAGTCCCTAGTGACTCCGGCAGCGGTGACAGCAGCAGACCCTGCGGGCAGGGAGCAGGGGGCGAGGACCTGCCCC